AAATGACAAGAGTAAAAGATGTACTAAAGTACTTTGCCTGATGCCCTGCAGTGCCTTCATGCACTTGTTCAGAAGCTGAGTTTTCCTTAGATTCTGGAAGGTCCCTGTACAAGGGCAAGTGTGCTGCTACATGTGTATTAAGGAGAGCTTGGGGTTTTGAGGATGGAAGAAGAAAGAAGGCTCAGCTCAGTTAAATAATCAGACAATGGAAAAAGGAAGCAGGGAAAATCTGACAACCCTTAGTTGATAGTTCGGTTTGTGTTACTGTCATTAACTACCACTATGGCCTGGTGGTATCAGCTCTGGTGGTGGTGTGAAATAGCAGTTCTGGGCCTTGTTGAAGAAGTGACTGTCTGTTCATGTTCCAAGTTCTTATACTTCTCCCCACAGGAAAACTATGACTGTGCTTCAGAGAGGACAGCATAAAACATTTGCTGTAGAAATGTTTTTTGTTTATTAAAGAAACACAAAAACCCCAAGTATGGTCTACCTGCAGCTTTAAGGGGATTCTTTGATGAGAAGCTATTTTACCTTGCTCCTTCCAGGGCACGACTGGACAGAAGAAACCCTCTTTGCTCAGAGTTTGCACAGTAGTTCTGCTGATCTGCACCTTCTGCCAGGCTGCAGGCAGTGCAAGTACTCAGCACATTCTTTGCTTACTGTAATGTAAATCTCCTTTCTTAATGTTATTTTTAAATAAAGTTAGCACCTCTAGTAGTAGATTTTGGTAGTGATGATAAGAGCACTGACTTTTATATCCCTTGCTTAAAGCCATTAAGGCAAGTCAAGACTTTGTAGAATCTGTTCTTAGCAGGATCAGCCATCTTTTCCATCTAAGTAAGTCATGGCACTGTAGTTCTAGCAGTCTCTGGACAATACGTTAGTATTTTTCTTGCCTTGTCATTATTTAAACTACTCCCCTTGCCTTGACAGGCTTTGTAGTAGAAGACTAGTTCTTAATTTTGCTGGCAGTTTCTTTGTAAAATGGCTCAATGCTGTAGCAGAAAATGGCTTTTTTGTGTCAGTGGTAACTGAAGGCTAATATTTCAGGCATGAAAGAGTAGAAGGGAGAGATGGCTTGACAGCAGGCTGAAAACCCTTCTGAAAAAAAGCCTTCTCTCAGGGAGACATCAGGCTCTGCAATTTCCAGGCAGTGTGGTGGGAAACACGTTACAGAATCCTAAATGACCTAAAGATGGTCAAAAATGGTGATCCTTGATAACAGCCTCTGGCTGAAATGCCACATAAGTGAAGAGCAGAACAAAGCGGTGCCTGGCCCTTGTTTTGTGCTGGGTATAACCCAGCTGACACTGCTTCCTAGAAGATACAAAATCCGTAACCTGAGATGACTGGACACTAGAGTGACAGGAAGTTATGCACATCTTTAGTCTTAAAAGGCCCATTACAAGAACGTAAAGGCACTATTTGGTCAGTTTGCAGCTCTTCTCAGGGGATTCAACAAATGGGTGCTGCATAGAGTTCTGTTTGCACTGAGTAGCAGCGAACTCTCTAATGTGTGGAAGAGGACTGAGCAAAGTAAATGGAAAACTATACATAATGAATGCTGCTATGCAAGCTGTTACCTCAATAGTAAGAATTTCCATGGGTTTTTTTTAGGCAGGTGTATACTAGCAATCTGCTGTTTGATCATGTTTGCAACCAAAACACTTAGCACAAGAAGTGTGCACAGCTACCAGCTGTCAAGAATTTGCATGTTCTTAACGCGTACCATGAAGCATCTTTTGCCTGCTTCTGTTCTTGTTTGTGTCCCAATAATTTACTAATTGCCGTAGCTCTGCCTTACAGCGACACCTGCCGCTGCAGTCAGGCTTGGCAGAAAGCTGGTTCTTGGCTCAGAGGTGTCAATTTCTGCTCCCCAGGTGATTGCTAGGAGCTTTGCTAGAATATATTCAAGTTCACGATCTTCTTCCTGATTCTGGTGTTATCGCAAAAGAAAAGAAACGTCCCTCAGGCCAGCAGTTGGAACACGCATGGTGTACAGGTGCCAGTCCCAAACTTAGTGCCCATGAAGCTTTGTGCACGAATTGTGTTGGTCAACTTCAAAACTGATACAGAATGTGCTGTAAATTACACATTAATCAGTGATAGAAAATTAGGGTATATGTTTGGAAAAGTACTTGAATTGAAGTGATTATGTGGCTAAAGCCTGGATTTTGCTGAAGTACTTGCTAACTGTGGTCTTGATCCATTAGTGGGGGGATTGATCCATGACTGAGGGGCTTGATTCCTGGCCTGTCTTTGATAACCTCTGTAATTCATATCTGAAACTCTTTGCGGCTTATACCAGGGGCAGATTTTATGAGATAGGGTGACTTCCCTCGCTTTCCCTTGTAAATCCCTGTTAGAGCTCATTTCTTCCATATCCTAACAAGAAATTGGAGGGTTAGGGCCAGCTGGAGGATGTTCAAGTTGACCCACCAGTGTGAATGAAAGGTGGATGGAAACCAGTGATCCCACATCTTAAACTGAAAAGCAAAAGTTAACATGAGGCTGGGTGCCTTGGAAAATTATGTCACTAAAGTACAGATATATTTGAATATAAACGTAACTCTGATTCCTCATTTCTTCCTCCCTCCAAGCTGGTGTAGGGCTCATTTTCTTAGGGTTCAGGTAGTCAAATGGAAAGACTGAATCGAGAGATCCTGGAAGGGGGCTGCCTGTGTTTTGTTCAGAAAGAGATACATTTGTCAGTTGCAATCTTTTGTTCTTTCCTCAGGCAGATTTCCCAATAGTTTGGTCAAGGATTGAACAAGAGTAATTGAACTGGACACACTAACTAGGATATGGTCTCACAGGTATGCCGCAAATCAAATGAGTTTGTGCAAAAAAATTAGCAGAATTGCTGCTGGCTTGGAATTGAAAATACACCAGGAGAGAAACTTTGGTGATATTCTCTTAGATGAGAGATTTTGTTAGTTTATAGTTCAGTGAAATATATTTTCCAGTGTCAAAATAGATAACTTATTTCAGTAATAGAAAAATAACATTGTTTTTTCCAGCATGAAAGTAATCCTACCAGGGATACACATACTGTACCATGCTAATATAATTCTACTTTAATACGAAGTAGAAATTTAATATCATTCCTGAATGTTACTATTGCATTATCAGAAATGAATTTCAGCAAGAGCAAAATGACTGATGTTCCAAACAATATTATTAAAGTTTGCAGCAGGTCTCTTATAGATTGCAATAATAATTTAAAGGTTACCTTTAATTATTTGTTGTGTGTTGGGTTTTGGGTTTATTTTTCTGTATGGTTAGTTTTAATTATTTCCTCTTATACAAGCATTTCTTTCTTAGTATTCTTATTTTTTCAAAAGAACAGTGGATTGATGGTTCTCTTATTTAGGTTTGTTTGTTTATTGTTCCAAATGCATATTGCATTGTTTTACTGTTGAATGGATGGTGTCATTCCTCTTTAGAAGAGGAAAGACTAGGAATGCCCTGGTGAATTCAGTTGTGTTAGGAAGTGAATGTTTCGTTAAACCTTGCATGCTGTTTTTGCTGTGTGAGGAAATGCACCACTGGTGCTTGAGAAGAAAAGAGATATAGTTTGATTTCCTATCTGTCCCCATTCTTTACTATCAAAACAAGACGGATACCTCCCTGAGGGCAGCTGGTTGTTTCCTTCCCCTGCAAAGGCTTTCTCAGCAGTTGTGGTGGCTGGGAGATTGGCGTCACTGGTGCCTCAGTGTGACTCTTGTCTGCTGCTGGAAGGCAGCATCTTTGCACCAGGTATAATGTAGTGTGCAATTCCCATCTCTCCAGTGGTATGAGAGCTGTTCAGACAGAGAGAGCTATAGCAGTGCTGTCTCTGCAGCTCCCTGGGCACATACACTTTCACCAAGACCTGTTTTCCTCCATCCTGTGCCTGCCCAGAGAGTGATACGGGCTTTGAGAAACTGCTGGCATGGGAACGTCTTGGCTCGGTCGTCTCATCCTTGATAGAGTGGCAGGACAATGCATGAAGTTATTGCATGTCAGGAGAAATAGCATGACTGCTCGCCTTTTATTCGTGCTTATTTTGTGAGAACCTGTCCTCTCTGTTTTCTGATTTTTTTTCTACAAAACCCCAGGAAGTCCATGCTCCTCTGGTTACACTTTTCACTTTGCTCTCACAATTGCTAAATTTTAAGCAGAGTAAAATAATTGTGTGGGTCATAAAGCAGACCCTGAAATATGAGGTAACAGCACTGTGGAGCAGCAGTGGGGCAAGATGGAAACAACAGGTGAAGAAGGGGAGGTGAAATGGTGGGATGTGTGGGAGGAAGAAGGAGGCTGACTGAGGGTATTTGTGTTGCTGTGAGTTGATGAGATACTGTGTGCATTTGGAAGCCAGACTAGATGAAATGTCAAAGAGGGAGATAGTAGGGATCAAGACAGACAGTGAAGAGAGAAAGAGAAAAGATAAATGGCATTATAACTTGACCTGTTACAGGTGCCTTGTGTTTGGATAGAGTGAGTGCTAAGTGTGGTTTGAATCCTGATACTTGAGGAGTAGAATTTTCTGCTTAGCACAGGTGGCTTCACTGAAATCACAGACCTCAGGGGATGAGGACCACTACATGCAGAAACCTCTCAAATTATGGCTGAAAAGCAAATACTATTTTATGCTCCTCCAGATAAGCCTTTTAAAATTCTGGAAATTAAGAGTGGGATTAATCACATAAAGGAAAATTTAACCTACGTCTGTTAGTCACAGCGATTGATTATGGTTTGCTAAAAGAGCAACAACCTCAAATGTTTCTGAGACTGGAAAGCTAGCTGTTAAAGGAAATTTCTGAAACTTTTTTCTCTGGCAAGGGACTATTGATTGGCTGAACTGTGACTTGATAGTCAATTTTACCTGTGAACAAGCACCAGGATATCTACTTCTCTCTTTTTTTTTTAACATTAGTTAATAAAGATGACAGTTTGGTCATCTTTTAATCTTTCCCAGAGAAATCATTGCATCAGTAAGCAAAAACTCCCTCCAAACTGCAAAACGCATTAGAAATTCTGGTGTCTGTATCAAGCAGACAGCAAGGCCTTATGCAGATCTCTTTCTTCACAGGCAAAACTGTGCTTGTTGCCTTTATGGTACAGATGTACCTATGTAGCATCTGGTGATCCAGAGATTCAGAGATATCTTTCCAGGTCTGCATGACAGTGAGTGTCATGTGTGAAATCAGAGCATTGCTGTTCCTTGCTAGGGAGAACAGTCCCCCAGTGTTGGATGTTTAAATCTGCATACAAACAGATACCTGCCTTAGATGTTTAGTCATGTATTATCACACCATGAGTAAGAGAAATCCTTTCATCAAACCTCTTAACAGAGAGGATCCTGCTTTAAACACATCTTGCTGAAGTGCTCTGGTAGAACTTGACCTCGAGTGTCTTAGCTAATGCAGGACCAACACAGTTGTTTGGAAGTAAACCGGTAAAAAGCAGTGAGGAGATAAATATTTTAGATGAAACTCCTTTCTTACACATACTAATATGTGCTTGTTGTGGAGTTGTATTTTTTAATTTTGTTTTGTTTTTTTTGAGGTTGTTTGATTGTTTTTAACTCTCTAATGTTTGACATTTAAGGTTCAAGCCTGGGAATTCCCCTGTGTATTTATCAAGGGATGCTATCAGAGGCCTGGTCAAAAATGGATGAGCAGGAGGTGAGAAAACTGGTTATCTGGGGAAGACAGGAGTTCTCTTCTTTTAGAACAGGGAGATCAGAGAAGATGAAAAGACTGACTTCTGTATAATTCTTGTGCTTCAAAGCCCAATAGATAGTGATACTGTAGGCTCCAAGGACTCATGAAAGATGAAATTCAGATTAAACAAGTAAAAGAGTTTTTTATCATTTTACTAGCTCTTTGCTACCAATACTGATTTAAACAAGGCCAAGTGCAGGAACTCACTACTTTAAACTAAAATGCTGTGTACTAATCTGAAGTCTCCAGCACATCTGGCAGATAGGGTAGCATGGGATTGGTGCAGTGATTCAAATCACATTTCAACATCCTGTCTTCTAATATTTTCTGTTCCTGATAATGAACTATTTAGTATGGACAGAGCTTGTAAATTAAATAGAATATTGATATTCTTTTTGGCCAACACTTGACTGATTTAAAAATGGATATATTAGCTATACTTAGGACATTTTTTTCTCCCACCCTTATAAACCGTGTTTCTATGAAAATTTTAGCAGGGTGATAATTTCCAATTTGCTATCAACATTACAATGAAACACTTGTTATATTAAGATTTGCAGTTCTTTGGTGTTTGTTTTTTTTTCCATTGAACCATTTTGAGAACAAAGAGCAACAGATACAATATGTAATGTATTACCAAGTGAATAAGACAGTGTCTTGGGGTTTTTCCTGTTTGTTTCACAGGCAATGTGTTCTCTAAAGCACATCTTCAGAATAAGCTCAAGTGTGCTAAATCTAAGGCTTTGTTTATTGAATGCACGTGTTTCATCTACAAGGGAGAAATGGTCCCGAAGAAGAGGCCAGTATTTTTAGTCAATAAGGATTAAATGGTTTGGCTTATGCTCAAAGGATGGCAAAATGTTTCCATATTAGCATTAATTTAATAATACAGTTAGATAGGAGGTAATTTAAACAAAACAAAGAATTCATACCTGGTGTACATGAATTCACTTCTGAACTTCAGACTTCAATATCTGCTAAAGTCTAGTCTCTATCCTTTGAAATGAAAAAAAAAAAGGCCAAAATGAGAGGGAAAAGTTCTTTAATTTTTCACTTTTAGGGCTATTTATCTTTGTAACACATGGAAATTGAAGGCCTGGAGCAGTAATTCTGAAGCATTTTGATAAAAATCATGTGCAATGTACTGATCATCTTTGTAACTGGAAATTAGACATGGACAAATTGGCTAGTAAAAATAGTTTTTGAATAGTCCAGAAGCTTGCAGGTTTTTCTAAAACACTGCACAGTCCCAAATTAGGGGGCTGGAGTTTCCACTGAGCCTCTACTTTTCCGTTCACTCTAAACCTCTCTCCCTTTATGAAGCCTTAGGGATCTGCCATAGTGCTGTTTCAGAGGTAGAAGATAAGAGCTGTTTCTACTTAATGCAAAGATCTATAAATTAATTACCTGTTTGCAGCCTTGCTATGAGGAGAGTTGTCACACAAAAGTTCATTCCCCTTGAGAGCATACTCTTGGTTTTGTACAGTAAACTCTAGATTGCTTCCTACAAATATTTTTACTTGGAAACTTAATCCTAAAGCTCTTTTACAGCTGTAATAAGGAGAGGTTTTGAAATCAATGCACTTGTTTCTTCATCACTTTTATGAATTGGGAAACTACTGCTATGCCATCTTCATTCATAACCGGACTGCGTATAGATGTTGATTTTTTTTTTCATGGATGACACAGTATTGATTTTGCGTTTGCATTATGTAAGAGAATTGAGATGAGAAATCCCATTTTGCACTCAGAATTACAGTTTCTAGTCTGGTTTGTAGCTGCCTGTCCAAATATGCTTTATTTGTGTCTTGTGATGATTTGACATATCATTTCATCAAGATAACTAAGAACTTTCCAAAAATTATTGATGGTGTGATTGTTTCTTTTGAAAATGTTACTTCACACGTTCTATATTATTTTAAGAATTGAAAATATCCTATTTTGGGTTTTTCTACTATTTTATCAAATGTTAATGAAAGAAATGTGTTTGAGAAAATTATACCATAGATCTGATTTTTATATCAGTATGCCAGCTTATACTAGGTGACATTCTTTTTTGACTGTTGGAAAATTTAGCCAAAAGAAAGTGCAAGAATATTTTTTCAATTTTAGATTTATTTTGTGTAGGAAGATGTTGGATCAAGATTAGTCTTGATGCAGGTAGCTAAAACTCTTCTTCTCCTAAGAGGAGCCATACACTGTACTATCAATATTGAATACAGGTTCTTCCTTGAAACTCTATTAAAGTGCCAGTACTAGAGTAATAGCAATGCAAATCTACTGCTTCCTCGAAACCTTTCTGATTTAGACTGGTGCAAACACCTGTGCGTATGTACAAGTAGCTTTTCCAAATATGAAAAAAAGTAGGTCAGATCAAGTCTTCTTGTAATTTTATATTTCCAGTTTCTTCAAAAATCTTCCACTGCATCTTACCACTACCCAAATCTGGGAGTTAGGAGAATGGAAAACATGTGGGGGTCAGTCAGATACAAAAGGGTGAAACTGTCATAAATGAAATAATGATGGTTTGGGGGGGTTTTTGACCATTTCTCCTAATGATGTTTTTAATAGTTTACTGTTATGATTGTTTGGTTGAAAATCTATTGAAGAATTTACCTATTAAGAGTAGGGAAAATTATCTATATGTGCAAGAGTATGCACTATGTACATAGGATAGATGTATATTAAAAAAAATAGAAAAAATTAGAAAATAAGTGTTGTATGGAAATCTCTTCTGGGCTGCTAAGGTACAGTGTGTGTTTTAGTACCACATTTAGTACCAATGAGAATTAATATATTTTGTGCAATTTAAAATAAGTGTATGTTTAATTTTTTGATGAGTTGCCGGCTACTGCAAATCCAATTTATGCAAACAAAATTTGAAATATAAATGCATTAGCTGAAAATATTTAATCATAGACATGAATATGAACTTATCATACTCATTGCTTTACACTTGCAGGTTGGCTTAAATTATTAATGCATATTGTTGAGCGGAAGCAAAAGAGGCAGTAACACTGACTCTGGCTGTGGTGAGGACTGTAGTCTTGCTGATGGCCACTAGTAGTAGGAGATTATTTCTCCTTCTTTGCTGTTTTAGCACAGCTGACCACCCTTTCCAAATGTTGCCTCCCTGCTTGCCCCATGTCCTGCACATTCTGGGATAGGGAGCAGTGATTTCATGCAGGCTGTCATTGCTGATGCAGTCCCAGATCAAAAAAAAAAAAAAAGCTTTTTTTTTTTCCCCCCCTCTTTACTGTCTGATCCTTTGTGGATGTTTTACGGCTAATAAAGGTGATTGGTTTTTCTAGTAGTCTTTTTTTCCCTATAGGAATAGAGTCAGCTTGTTATTGAAATTTGTCTGATAACAACGCTGACCAGCAATTAAAAATTGCAGGAAATTGGGGTATTCCATCATGTTTGTAGCTGTTTATTTTCCTTCTGTCAGAAATCAGTGCTGCAGCAATGGAAAATAGGAAATGAAGAAATAAAAAGTTGCATTCAAAGCTTGAAACCAATGGAGCTTACACTGAATTATTAAATAATATAATTTTAAAACTTCAGAAGTAATATTAATGTTGAAGCCTCTGCATTTCATTTGATACTCAAGTAATGGATGCAGAGAAAGCTAGCTGCACACTCTTTCAGTTACTTTACCTTCAATTGTATTTCCAAATAGGTGTTTTCTGTAGGTAGACGGGTTATAGTAAAGTTTAGTTAGTGAGGCACATTGTGCTTAGGAAGCAATGAAAGAAGGTGGTATTTGAAAGGCAGCCTGATGGTTTGCATGATGAAGGATCATCAGCGTGGTATCTGCAGGGGTTTGATGTTCGGGACTCGCTGGATCCTTCATCAACAGTTGGGGGTTACATAGGCAAGGTTTGGATGAGACATTTTGGTTACCAGTCACAGGTCCGCTGGGGAAGAACTGCAGTCCAGGACAAGCTCCTCGGCACGCGCATGGTAGTCTGCAAACCAGGATCCAACCCAACCCTGGGGCCAATGTGTGGCACTGCGGAAAGGGCTTGTGAATCTGTGGGGAATTCCTGGTGTCAGATCAGACTTCAGTAAAATGCAAGTATATCACTGTAGAGTGCTTGTATTCCTTCTCAGTCTGGAAAAGACAGATTTAAGGCCAAGGTAGGATTTTCCGTTTATTTTTCAGTAGCTTGTTTGATTTGTGAGGATCTTTGATTTGACAAATTATTCGTTAAATACATTCAAAACGAATAGTTTATCAGGGGAAAAAAAATGTCATATTGTGCATTTTTCCCCTTCTTTTCCTTCTTCTTCTTCTTCTTTCTTTTTTTTTTTTTTTGATGTGTGCCCTAATTGTGTTTTTTTACTGTCACCTAGTAATAAAAGATGTGTGCTCAGGTCAAAAAGAAAAGATGATTAAATGTTACATTATTGCCTCAGCTATCATTTTTCAAACAAAAAACAAAAAAAAGCAGAAAATGAAAAGAATAAACTTCTTCCTGATTCTTCCCCCTAGTGGCATCAAGCCACGTGGCCTTGTCATGAAAAGGTCACTTAGATTTTAGCTGAAATGATGACAGCACATGCTTTGTTTTACATTTGAGCTCTGTCCTCCTGGTTTTCTCTGTGACACAGCACGGGGCTGCTCTGCTTGTGGAGCCTGTTACAGCAGTGGGTTTAAGGCAACATAGTGAGTACTAGACCTCCTGGGTTTGACAGAATGGGAGAAGAATGACAGGAAAGAGAAAATCATATCCTAAGTGGGACCTGTAGGAATATTAAATCTAACACCTGGCAAAAGATTACTCCAAACCCAGCAGCCTTGAATATGAATCATTGTAATGAACTCTGCATGGAAGTGCTCCTGATGACAGTCCAGAAACTCAGTCTGGTGAAATCACAGTTGCTCTCCTGCCTCTGTCTCTGACAGCATATTAGTCCTACTATACTTACTGATACTCAAGGTTTTTTGCTTGCAATCATGTTTTTTGGTACTTAAGAATGTGGGTTTTAAAGGATTGATCTGTTCTGTTTATTATTTTTTTCCAAAGTGAGCATTGAGATACAAATGTTTGTAGGATTTTTTTTTAAAGTAAGATTTTGTTTTGATGACTGTTTAACAGTTTTTGGCTAAAATTCAGTGGTGAGTTTTGTCTGTGGGAGAAATTGTTTAATCTTCCCTATGTTTCATTTCTGAGTGAAGCTTTTAGAGAGACATCGTTATCTGTGTGGCTTTTGCTCAATATTGAATCAATGCACTGAAAAAAGAGTAGTGTTTCTAATTCATTCTCACATTGGTTTCTTCCTTGTCTTCTCATATTTAATTGCTTAATGGATTCTGCCTCTGCTTGGCTGAGATCTCTATGACATTTACAGCTCAAAGCAGAGTGATTAAAGAAGCTCTATAGGAAACATATAATTACCTTCCTAGAAGTACAGTTGTTTTCCATCTGAAATCCATAGTCCAGTCCAAATGGAAGCAGACTGCCAGCTGCAGTGTTGGTGATGCATTTACTTCAAGACTACTGAGTATCTCTGTTCTTTGTGTGATACTGATGGTTTAGTAGTCAGGTATGAGACATCTGTAGCTGCTGTATCTTTCTTGGGTACACAGACAATTTAAGAATAGCAACCATTGTTTTCTTTGCAGGATCTGTAAAACTAAAACTTGTTCTGGGCTGGAAGTATGCATGAAAAATTGTGAATTTCCAATGGTAGAAAAAAAGAGTGATCTTGGGTGAAATTCCTAAGAATGGGCTCAATCCTAGGAAGTGCTGAGTAGTACGACAGAAGGCTGACTCCTCTTGCTACTGCTGATTATAGCAGAATGAATATGCACCTGTAGCAGCAGCTTAGAAAGCACCTGTATATCTCTTTAATTTTATTTGGAACCACAGAACATCCTGAGAGTGGGTGACATTCTTCATTATGCTTATTTAAAGCCCTGTGCACTGCTACAAATTTAAAATCCCAGTGACATGAGCTGCACCTTTTCAGTTTTAGACAAATTAAGGTGTGATGGTGCATCCCACTCCCCCAGTCCTCAGGCCTGCTCTGTGATCTCAGAAATTCTTGATAAGATTTAACCAAACCAGCTGAGCCACAAAGCATCCCTTGACCAACTGGGCCATGAGGTACTCCCTGATCGTACCAGGAACTCTTGCATGGTAAAGGTGGGAACAACCAGAAGCATCAGCTGCCCAACTGTTGTGGGTTACAAAGGGTTTTCCCCTGGAGTTGGAAGGTGGTTAATCCCAGGGGGTGGTGTTCTTGGTGTAGAGCCAATCAGAAACTACAGTTCGCCCCTGTGAAATTAACATATTACAACAGACCAGCACAGGAGACAGATTACGTAGTTGGAAGAGAGGCAGCCATGGCTTGAGACACCACGTGTTAGAGCTGATGGGCCAGGGAGCCCCGCTGGGGGCCAAGGCCCTCAGGCCCGGCTGGGGCTACGGAAACCCGGCGCAGCGTTAAAACTGGA